AGTTGTCTCCGAATTACCCGAAGTTCGACTACTTATAAATGCAGCCGAATATTTGGGAACTCATATTTCATGAAAGCTTCAGAAAGAAAACCATCAATTTAAAATAAATTACATCTGGACATCTCCTAATAAAAGCGTAAAAGGGAGAGCTGAAGTTAAATTTGTTCGGGAACGAGTGAAAACAGTTCTGAAACAAATTTAACCGCGCCATAGTTGACATGTTCTGCGTTAAGGTACGCTCAACATGCGACCTATTTTCCATTAGATTTTTTTGGCTTGTTTTGACCCTTTTGTTGAAATTTTCGAATTATTAAAATTCCGACCGAGAAAAGTTACTGTATGCTGCAGCATATATAACCCATTCGTCTGAGCACATTCTGTTAGCGTTTATTTCAAACATTTCAGCTATTTTATTAATTTACGAGAGCATCGTTTACTTGTTTGCCCCCAGCGTTCCTCTAATTGAAGTTGTGAGTTTAACAAAGACCGGACGAGGTTTTTTTGGGAAATTTGTTTACAGTCGGGGCGAATTGCATAATCAAACTATTTTTTTTGTACTCAAACAATGACAGCCAACACAATGTGGAATAAATACGCTTTCAGAAATATTAGCTGCTTTCACTCAAAAGTTAGATACTACTTTGTTGTATGAATAATTCACGTTTGTTGTTTTGTCTTAAAATGTAGCAACACTCATAAACAAAAGCGTATCAAATTTACATCAAAGCTCTGTTACATCACTTGAAGTGTGTAATTCAGTAAAAGCTAAAACAGAGAATTTGTGACTAAAAAAAACAAGATCAAAAGTAATTAAATTATAAGGAAAATAAGAAGCTTAATAAATGATGAAATTAATTTTTTGATCGGGAAAAATATTGTCTAATGTTATTGTCTAGTTAGAATTTCGAGAAAACTAGATGATTTGGATGACTGGCTACTTTTATGTTTTCTCGACGTTTTATGACCCTTAGAGTACGAAAAAATTGTTTGTCTGTCTGCCGTTTGTCTGTGTATTAGGAATATCGTGTAGATGATAAAACCTTAACCAAAATTTGGATAAACACTAACTCTATCCAAATTGATATACGAGTATATAATGGGAAAAGTCATTTAAAACAAACGTTTTTTTTTCCATTTACTTTAATATTGCATACATGTCTTTATTTTAATTTAAGGGTTGTCATAAAAAATAAAATTCGCAATACCAAATCTTATAATTTTTCAAAAAATCTGGATTTACTTACCATGGACCAATTTTTTGAGATCACAATTTTTAATTTTTTTCAACTTTAAGTCTTTTATTTTTTAGTTTCTCAATATATAATTTTTCGATTTTTCAATTTCTTGTTTTCTCAATTTTTCAAGTTTCCTAAATTTTATTTATTATATCAAAATTTTTCATTTTTCCATTTTCCTTCATTTTTCCGTGTTTGTTTCGATTTTATGATTTTTCGCTTTTTCAAATTTTAATCTTTCGATTTTTCAATTTTTCGTTTCTTCAGTTTTTTAAGTTCTTGATTTCCAGTTTTGCAATTTTTGATTCGAAAAGTTAAAAAATCTAAGAACTGAAGAAACCAAAAAAACTGAATCATTGACGAACTAAAATCGAGAAACCTAAAAATCGAAAAAAATCAATGAATGAAAAATTGGAAAGAAGAAAAAACGAATCAAATCAAAACTAGGAAAACCCAAAAATTATAAAATGGAAAAATTATACAAACGAAAAAGTGGAAAATCGAAATATTGCTAATCGAAGAACTAAAGAAACCAAAAAAATTTAATCACTGAAAAACTAAAAATCGAGAAACTTAAAAACCGAAAAAATCAATGAAAGAAAAAGTTGGAAAGACGCAAAAACGAATGGATTCAAAACATTGGAAAACCCAAAAATTATAAAATCGAAAAGTTATAGAATCGTAACATTGGAAGATCCAAAAAGTGAAAAATTAGATATAGAGATATTCAAAAATTAAAAACTGAAAGTCTGAAAAATCGAATAAACAAAAAAGTTTAATTATAGAATCGTTAAAAACTGTAACATTGGAAGATCCAAAAATTGAAAAATTAGATACAGAGAAATTCAAAAATTAAAAATTGAAAAACTGAAAAATCGAATAAACGAAAAAGTTTTAAAATCCAGTAATTGAAAACTGGAAAAATTGAAAAAGTGAAAACTTTGGAAAATTTTAATTATTGTTATACGGGGTGTCTGGAAAATGGCGGATTAACTCTTCAGTACATTATGTACGGGGGTTTTGGGAGTCCCAAAAAAATAAGTCAAAAATTCTTTATGACAGACTACGAAAAAAACGTAAATTTATAATAGTAAAATTGGCAACACTGCAAACAGCTAATGCTTCAAATATCTCCGGCATAGTTTCCGATTTCTTAGGAACGATGGTGACTGAAATCCACTAGTACCTCCTAAGATAAAACTGATTTTGGCAAATGATATACTCTCTAAAAAAAGAGAGGGTGGGTGGGCGGGGCTAGTACCTGCTAAGACAAGAGTAATTTTGACAAATGAGATATCCTCTAAAAAAAGAGAGGGTGGGTGGGCGGGGCTAGTACCTGATAAGATAAGAGTGATTTTGGCAAATGAGATACCTTCTAAGGAAAGAGAGGGTGGGTGGGCGGGGTGAGTACCTGCTAAGCTAAGAGTGATTTTGACAAATGAGATACCTTCTAAGAAAAGAGAGGGTGGGTGGGCGGGGTGAGTACCTGCTAAGATAAGAGTGATTTTGGCAAATGACATATCCTCTAAAAAAGAGAGGGTGGGTGGGCGGGGCTAGTATGTGCTAAGATAAGAGTGATCTTGGCAAATGAGATACCCTCTAAGAAAAGAGAGGGTGGGTGGGCGGGACAACTACCTGCTAAGATAAAACTGATTTTGGCAAATGACATGCTCTCTAAGAAAAGAGAGGGTGGGTGGGCGGGGCTAATACCTGCTAAGATAAGAGTAATTTTGACAAAGGAGTTATCCTCTAAAAAAAGAGAGGGTGGGTGGGCGGGGCTAGTACCTGATATGATAAGAGTGATTTTGGCAAATGAGATACCTTCTAAGGAAAGAGAGGGTGGGTGGGCGGGGTGAGTACCTGCTAAGCTAAGAGTGATTTTGGCAAATGAGATACCTTCTAAGAGAAGAGAGGGTCGGTGGGCGGGGTGAGTACCTGCTAAGATAAGAGTAATTTTGGCAAATGAGATATCCTCTCACTCACATAAGACTGATTAACTGACTGCTAAGAGCCTAGCGGAGAGTTAATCCACCATTTTCCGGACACCCGCTATATTTACAACAAAAGCTAGAAAAATTGCAAATAAAAAATTGAAGAAACGGAAAATTAAGAAATCTGGAAAACGGAAAAAAGGAAAAATCAAAAAATCTGAAAGTTTAAAAACCGAAAAATTGAAAATTTTCACATTAAATAAAAGAAAAATTATAAAATTGAAAAACGAAAAATTGAAAAAATAAAGAAAAAAAAACTGAAACAAAATTTTAGACTCGTGAAATTGTAAATCGAAAAATTGCAAAATCTAAAAATTGAAACATCCAAAATTTACAAAATCGAAAAACTGAAAAAATTTTCAATTGAAAACTCGATGACTCACAAATCGTAAATTTTAAATTTAAATAAAAGAATTGCAAATTCTAAAAATTGAAAAATTCAAAAGTTGAAAAATCGAAAAACTGAGAAATTTAAAATTGAAAACTCCAGAAAGTGTAAATCGAAAAACTGAAGAAACAAAAAAATGAAAAATGGAACAGTTGAAAAATTCAACTCAAAAAAGCTGCGGGAGTTTTATTTACGCCACTGGTTTTAATTTTATAGACGTTATCAGGAAACAAAAATTCCAAAAAATTGTATAATTTTTCAAAGCGGAATTTGTATTATTTTTTATTTTATCAGTGAACTAAATTAATTATTGCTTTTTCTTCCCACCAAACTCTAGTTTTTGGCTTTGGGTTAAAAATACATATCACAGATAGCAAAACTTTCAGAAACTAATTTACTGAAGGTAAATTAGTTTCTCAAAGTTTCACTTTTGATTGTTACTTAAATATTTCAGAAACGTCTTACTATTATAACCGCCGTTAAATACAAATAGGAATTAGTCCTCTCTTCATTCATTTAGATGATGTAAAATATAGGATACCGCTTGCTTAATAATTTTATCCTGACGTCAGTCTCAATCCTTTTTTGGTAACGCTCTAAGAAAACATCTTTGCTTTATATAAAACAACAACGACAAGGCTATTAATACTCTACTATTACTGCACTTACCTGTAAATTCAGGCTTCTTTCATCTGTACTCCTGAACGTTTTTTTTAATTGTGTGTTCCTGTCATACAAATTTTAATACTTTTATCTGTTTTTTTGCGTGGAATTAGCTCTTTTGTCACAGAGAAGATGCTTCACATAAAAATCAACCCGTCATGTACCATGAGTCGCTGATTAAAACAACCTCTAGAAAAATTTGTTTTCAAAGCTTACATATCAATCCCCAAGGCAGCTTTTTCGTAATTTAGCCTTTTAAAAAAATAAAACAAAAGTATTTTACACAATAAAGAAGTAATTTGTTTTATCAAAGTGCTTATTTTCCTGTGGGGGTTCGCTTTGCGCTTTTGGTAAAGTGGGGTGTCTAAATCTGATATATTTCATACAATATTATTTCAGACAAATTTGGAAAAATTTTAATATTGTTATTTTGATATCACTTTCGGTTATCTCTTCCTTTTGATATAATTCACTTAAAAGCTTGTCGTTGGGAACGAAGTGTGGAGGATACATGTCCAGTGGAGAATTTTCGTTCGTTTTTGTATATTATTTTTAATTTCGGTAAGTCTTGAAGTTATGGTGGTTCGGGAAAACGGTGGGTGATGATTTATGAGAACTATTATTAAAAGGTAGTAATCTGTCTTGTGTAGATAATTTAATTAGTTTGGGGTTCAGGATGAATTGAAAAGCTATTGTTTTTGAGCATTTATTGAGTATGACGAGATTACACAACATCTGGGGCTTAACGTTAATGCTTACAATACAACAATGAGAGATGGATGATTGCTGTGTAATCATCGATGATATATACATACATATTTACGATATAGTGATACATCTCGTTACATCATTATTTACATGTAAATCTTAACTACAAATGACGTTTCCTTCGGAAAGACTTGGGTATAAAAACTTTGAATAATAACAATTATTGTAGAAAGATATGTCTAATAAGCTTAGCGGAATGACACCACATAGGATAACCAAGGTAAGCATAAAAATGATAAAAGCGGCCTCTGAGTATTAATTACAGCAGGGACGGGGCTCGTGTCAACCGCTGTAATCGCAGTCAGCAGATAATCTTATTTGATTTAATTGTCAGGTACATAATGATAATATTAAACCGTCACCTCCTCCGTGAATCGGCTTTTATCGTCGAGATTTATAACAATGGCATGCGTCCGGGCGTGTCCAGACTTGAGATATCTGCCGTTTCGGTCAGCCGCAGGACTTTCGTTCCTTTCATCCCTGCTCTTCAGTTCTATGGAGGCTGCTCCCGCCGCTGCTTCCTCCGCAATCGTACTACAACTATTATTATCTTTCACAGCGCCGTCGCCACAGGGCTCAGTTTCAGACGCGAAAGACACACTTTGACGCTTAACTTTGACAGGCGACTCGTCCTCGCCGGTCTTCTCAGGGACCACGTCGAGCGTGTTGTTCAGCTTTCCGAGCGTTCTGGATGGATTCTCCGATTGGACGTGATCGTGGCTCCTAGCGGCATCCTGCATAGCCGTTATCTTGGACGCCAGGTGTCGGTTGCCTATGCGCATATTCTTTTCCTTGAGCATTTCCAGTTGCGTGTACAGACGTAAGAACTCCTCCTGGACATCTTGCTCCGAATACTTCGAATATTCTAAACCGCCGACCGACGAGTTCGTGCTCGTATATTGCGAATTCCCTGCACGCGTTTTCCCTAGAAATTTTGAAGTCGGCGTCTTTGACATCATCCCGGAGCTGTCGTCGCTTTGGTCATGGTTCTTAAACACCATATAAGCCTGCACAGAAAACAACCCATCAGACAAAGGATCGCGTACGATCATTAAAGCGAAATCTTTTTTGACGAATGGCAAACCGAAAAAGGAGTTTTATTGATGTTCTCAAATCAAACAGCTCAGTCTAGCCTCATAAACATACAGTTCAGTTAGTGTCACTACCAAGCGCCATTTTCCAAGACCTTGACTCAACTCCAGTCATTTTACTCCCGACGTTCCACATTTAGAAGGTTTTTGTTTTTATTTTAAATATTTTAGAGCAACGGAGGTATTACGTCGTCAGGCTAAAATATACAACTCGTTACGCTTTGTTCTCAAAGCTTGTGAGGCAGACTGTTTCATCGACACGCTCATTGGAAAATTGCTGCATTTAAAGCAATTCTCTTCTAGTAATTAGAACTTCAATTTATTGCAACAGGGAAATAATTAGCATTCACAAGCATAAGATACCCTAAAAGGACACTTGAACTTGTAGTCCCTCAATGTCGGGTACTAGCCAACCCCATAAATTGGGTCTACGAGAGCAACTACCCCTCGCCTAGCAGGACCAAACCCCTACACCGATAAGGTTCGGGTCTCGATAATAAGAGTTAGTTAAGATTGTTATTGAAGCCATATTCGGTCCATCGGGACCTATTTTTCCTATCCCCTACGGCGAGCAATAACAAAGCTACCTCTCCACCCATCTCGTTTTAACTTTCTCCTACCCCTTAACTGACCCAACATTGACCTCTTTGTAGAAACGACTTGCACTATTTCCGGATATCAAGCTAAGGTGCGACGAAAGATATAGTATGGTCATAGTGAGGACGCTAAATCCGTTTGACTGGCAAGACCTTGCCCTATTGAGTAACAAATAAAAATCATTTCAATACGGTACGGTCTGTGAAACATCCCAATGCTGGTATTTATTGAACTTTATAGGAGATCCGCTATAAAATTCATTCATAAATACTCTATGTCTTTCGTCAAACTTTACCCCGCTCATTCTATTCTGACTTTCCCGTACCCTCGAACCTAACAAGTTCAGGAACTGCGGACCCGACAAAGCTTAGACCTGTCTATAAAAAGCGTTTTACACCAACGCGAAGGTGGAGGTTGGCTTGATCAAGAAAGGTCATGTGTTCGTTAGAATAAGAGAGGTTCGGAAATTCTCTTTTTTTGTTACATCAAATTGAGTCGTCTGGTGAGCGTCACGTACTATTTTTACGAAATCGTTGTTTGTAGGTTTAAAATTTTGACTAGATTTTTGAGGTAAACGTTGCAGTTTTACATAAATTGTCCAATTACTGTGGGCTTTATTTCGTACTTAGAGTTGTATGATGGTAATATACATAATTTTTATTGGCAGAAATTCTTTTATTTTTCTTCTTTGTATCGACGTAACTTATTACAACATTCACTAAAATAAACTGTTTATTAAAGAAAGATATGCAAAAGTATGGTCGGTACGCAGCAGAAAAGGGTTTGAGACTGATTCGCCTCCTCATTGCCGGTTTTCATAATCCCCAAACACTTAGATCGGTTAAAGTGGACAAGGAACAAAGTTTCCTGGTTTGATTACAGAAAACTTTGAATTACAAACGAGAATTATTTGAGACAATATTTTAAACTAACCAGTAGAGTGATTTTTTTGACAATAATAAATCTTTATTTAGTAACTTTACTAAATCTGGTATTTCGTTGCTGGATGACCTGTTATTGAGTTAATTTTGAGACCCTCTTTTTTTGAAAAATTTAAAACAATCTTGAGGTTCTAGGTATTCCTATTTATTTTCTTCATTTAATTAAATTTCGTAAAGGATCGTCACTGGCCAAAATCACTCTTATCTTAGCAGATACTAGCCCCGCCCACCCACCCTCTCTTTTCTTAGAGAGCACGTCATTTGCCAAAATCAGTTTTATCTTAGCAGCTACTAGCCCCACCCACCCACCCTCTCTTTTCTTAAGAGGGTATATCATCTGCCAAAATCACTCTTATCTTGGCAGGTACTAGCCCCGCCCACCCACCCTCTCTTTTCTTAAAGGGTATATCATTTGCCAAAATCAGTTTTATCTTAGAAGGTAGTAGTGGATTTCAGTCACCATCGTTACTAAGAAATCAGAAACTATACCGGAGGTATTCACGCATTAGGACCGTACCATGGTGCCAATTTTACTTTTATAAAATCACGTTTTCTTCGTAATCTACATTATAGAGAATTTTTTTGGGACTCCCTAAACCCCCGTACATAACGTACTGAAGAGTTAATCGGCCATTTTCCAGACACCCGGTATAAGAACAATTACAATTTTTTAAAGTTTTAACTTTTTCAATTTGTCGAGTTTTCAAAAACTCGATTTTGATTTTTTTCATTTATTGGATTTTTCAATATTTCAATTTTTAATTTTTGAATTTCTCCATATTTAATTTTTCAATTTTTGGATCTTACAATGTTACAGTTTTTAAAGATTTTATAACTTTTCGATTTTATAATTTTTGGGTTTTCCAATGTTTTGAATCGATTCGTTTTTTCTTCTTTCCAATTTTTTCATTCATTGATTTTTTTCGATTTTTAAGTTTCTCGATTTTTAAATTTTTAATGATTACATTTTTTTGGTTTCTTTAGTTCTTCGATTTCCAATTTTTCGATTTTACAATTTCTCGTTTTGATAAGTTTTCCATTTTACAATATTTTCGTTTTCCTAGTTTTGATTGCGTTCGTTTTTTCTTCTTTCCAATTTTTTCATTCTTTGATTTTTTCGATTTTTAAGTTTCTCGACTTTTAGTTTTTCAATGATTCAATTTTTTTTGGTTTCTTCAGTGCTTCAATTTTTTCAATATTTCGATTTTTCAACTTTTCGAATCAAAAATTGCAAAACTGGAAATCAAGAACTTAAAAAACTAAAGAAACGAAAAATGCAAAAATCGAAAGTTTAAAATTTGAAAAATTAAATAAGCGAAAAATCATAAAATGGAAACAAACACGGAAAAATGAAGGGAAATGGAAAAAAAACTCGAAAACACGAAAGTGAATAAATCGGTGAAAATGAAAAATAAAAATTAAGAACTTGAAAAATTGAGGAAACGAAAAATTGAAAAATAGAAAAATTATAAATTGATAAAATAAAAAATTGAAAAAATTGTGAACTCAAAAAATTGGTCCATATTGAGGTTCTAGGTATTCTTGTTTGGAAAGAATTTGAAAGTGCTTTGGAGTCTCTAGTTTCTTTTCTTATAACAATTTAATTAAATTTCGTAAAGGATACGTCATTTGCCAAAATCACTCTTAACCTAAGAGGTACCATCCCCGCCCACCCACCGTCTCTTTTCTTAGAGAACATGTCATTTGCCAAAATCAGTTTTATCTTAGCAGGTAGTAGCCCCGCCCACCCACCCTCTCTTTTCTTAGACAGTATCTCATTTGCCAAAATCACTCTTATCTTGCCAGGTACTAGCCCCGCCCACCCGCCCTCACTTTTCTTAGGCCGCCGTACATAACGTACTGAAGAAATCCGCCATTTTCCAGACACCCGGTATAACAATAATTAACATTTTTTAAAATTTTAACTTTTTCAATTTCTAGAGTTTTCAAAAACTGCAACTTTAGCGCTGCTTCGTATTATCAAAATAGCGCGCGAAATTATTTCCATCTTGTTTCACATATTCCCCAAGGCACCTTATACCACTGTTTTAAAAAATGTCTTTTATGCAAGGTAACGCTCGATGAGTTGTGAGCAGTCATTAATAGCCTCTAGTTTCTTTTCTTATAATAATTTAATTAAATTTCGTAAAGGATACGTCATTGGCCAAAATCATTCTTATCTTAGCAGTTACTAGCCCCGCCCACCCACCCTCTCTTTTCTTAAAAAGCATGTCATTTGCCAAAATCAGTTTTATCTTAGCAGGTAGTAGCCCCGCCCACCCACCCTCTCTTTTCTTAGACAGTATCTCATTTGCCAAAATCACTCTTATCTTGGCAGGTACTAGCCTCGCCCACCCGCCCTCTCTTTCCTTAGAGGGTATCTCATTTGCCAAAATCATTCTTATCGTAGCAGGTACTAGCCCCGCCCACCCACCCTATCTTTTCTTAGAGGGTATCTCATTTGTCAAAATCACTCTTAGCAGATACTAGCCCGCCCACCCACCCTCTGTTTTCTTAGAGGATACGTCATTTGCCAAAATCAGTTTTATCTTAGGAGGTACTAGTGGATTTCAGTCACCATCGTTCCTAAAAAATCAGAAACTATGCCGGAGATATTTGAAGCATTAGCTGCTTGCAGTGTTGCCAATTTTACTATTATAAATTTCTCTTTTCTTAGACCGCCGTACATAACGTACTGATGAAATCCGCCATTTTCCAGACACCCGGTATAACAATAATTAAAATTTTTTAAAGTTTTAACTTTTTGAATTTTTCGAGTTTTCAAAAACTGGATTTTGATTTTTCCATTTATTGGATTTTTCAAAATTTCAATTTTTAATTTTTGAATTTCTCCATATTTAATTTTTCACTTTTTGGATCTTTCAATGTTACAGTTTTTAAAGATTCTATAAATAACTTATCGATTTTATAATTTTTGGGTTTTCTAATGCTTTGATCGATTCGTTTTTTCTTCTTTCCAATTTTTTCATTCATTGATTTTTTTTCGATTTTTAAGTTTCTCGACTTTTAGTTTTTCAATGATTCCACTTTTTTTGGTTTCTTCAGTGCTTCGATTTTTCAATTTTTCGATTTTTGGATCTTCCAATGTTATCGTTATTAAGGATTCTATAACTTTTCGATTTTATAATTTTTGGGTATCTTTTGTATCTCACTACAATACAAAAGTAAATGTTCTAAATTCTTCCATTTCCGTCTGTCTGTCTGTCTGTCCGTCTGTCGGTCTATCTGCCGTCTGTCCGGATTTTTATTAGACAGATAATTCGCTGCTATCATTTTATCATTTTGTTTTACCTCCTCTAGCTCGTTTCTTCAAGCTTGGCTAACAACTTTCTGGCGCCCACCAACGTCAATAGAACGAATTGGTGTACCTTTTGTACGTTGATTTCTGTAATCGACTGGCAAAATATTTCATTTAGAATTCCACTCGGGGAGGGTCGTAGCTCAAAATTGGCCTTTAAAACGTCTTTATGAAACGAAAAATAAATTTGATTAGGCATATAATACAAGAATGATTAGATTGTGCTGCTTGTGGACTGTAAACGAAACCTGCAGGGTAGGAACTCCCAAAATGTAATTGTAAATTTATGCACGATTATTGGAAAAGCTGAATAATTAGATTTTCATTGGTAACTTAATCACGTTGAAGAGCGTAATTTACACGGTCGTAGCACACAAATAATTTCCGCAGGTAGATTTTATGAGTAATTTTTACAAATTACGCACTCTGAACAAATATGTAGGTTTGTAGTGGATGTTCAAAGTGGAAAAATTTCGTTGCGTTGGTAAATTGATTAGCTTAATTATTTTTGACGCGTTGTTTGTAATTAAGCTAGAAATAATAACAGTGAATAAATTCATTCGGACGAGGGTAATTCATGCGGCTGTAATTTTTATTTATCATCCACTTCCGGCACTAGCTCTTACGGTTTTTAATTAAAAAAAATCTGTGATTATTGAGAGACAAGGGCCGAAAAGAAGTTTAATATTGCAGATATAATCCCGAAATTCTTTCATTTCGTATGTGATTTCTTCAGGCAGAAAGATTCTGTGAAATAGACTGACAACAACCGAGCCCTGAATAGGCTGCGAGTAATTTATTACTTCGTCTGCTCCACTTCCGATCACACAATACCTCACTAATGAGAATCTCACTTTCTGTCAGAAAATATAGTACATGATTTCTACAAATCAAAGAAGAAAGAAAGCTATTGTAAATAATTGGACAATTTCTCTAAAATAACCTCTCACTATTCGCGCAACTTTAGCGCTGCTTCGTATTATCAAAATAGCGCCCGAAATTATTTCCATCTTGTTTCACATATTCCCCAAGGCACCTTATACTACTGTTTTAAAAAATGTCTTTTATGCAAGGTAACGCTCGATCAGTTGTGAGCAGTCATTAATATCCAAAAGAGACGTCTCACTCTTTTATAAAACGCGAACTACCACCAGACGAATTATGGAAAATGCTTTCTTCCATTTTCTCCGAATGTGGCAATATGGAAATTCTGAATTTAAAAAAAGTTAACAGTTCCAAAGCAAATCGATGGAATTAATTATCGTTATTTAGCATTACATGAAAAGCCATTTTGACTGACTTCGTGGAAACCTGACCTATACGTTCAATGAGCAATTAATTACTTAACGTTTGTGTTTTATTATAAAGCGAGCTTTCACAATTTTAAGCTCATATTAAAGTGTCAATATTTTTCAAACTTGCCTTATTGGCCGTACGAGGTAAAAAGATCACCTTACATGGAATAATTTATTTTCGATATATTAGAGAAGTTTCTCTCAAGTTGTTCAAGTTTCACCAAAAGGCGAACTGATTAATCAACTTTAAATGTATTGTAGATTTCAAAGCTCTGTAGTTCACCAAAGAAATCCTTTGCAGTATGAGAACGTAGGAAACTTTTTGACTCAATTCGGATCTCCAATACCCACGTTAAAACTTTCACTACTTTGATTGAAGCCCTCATAGCTACACTATTTTCAGCCTTATAATTTTCATTCAATTAACGTTTTAATTATCTTTCAAGATGCAGTTAATTAATATACAAAATTAAATCCTCTTGAATGCGCAGGTAGAAAGGAGAACAAACTCGCTATAAAGATGTACCTAGTTAACTATTTTCTAGAAACTGAAGACTCTTGTCGAAACCTAATTACATAAAATGCCTTTGTAAGGTGCATCTTTTTATAAAACAATTTTTGCAGCAATTATTTTTTAGCTTCGTTGTAAGCAAAATCACGGATAATTATTTCCCGAAAATACAAAAATTAGACTAGTGGTTAATTTCTTTATCGACTCTTACGGCGATTGATTATAACGGTCGCGTCATATGACTCGCTGCGTTCGCTATTTCTTTAGAAATATTTTCATCAATTTTTACTTACACTAGAAAATCTACCACAGCGAAACGTAGGTAATTATGGAACGAAACGTCACATTTTATGTAGTAATGCAGACATTTAGTAGTTTTATATCCACCCAAATAAATCCTTTGGATATAAATTACAAACTACGAGTTTTATCGGACAATGTGGATTGCAATGAAAATTTATATGAAATTAAATGACAGTGTAATAAATAACTACAACCAATCGTGGTTCGTGAAATGTGTGAATAATTGCAATTCGTGTCAAAAACAAATTTTCCCTCTAAAAAAACATTGTGTGTTGACACTAACGTCAACTCTGTGATCCTTTTAAGACTGTAAAATAATAAGTACGAGCACGTTCATTCTTCCTTTAATTACAGGCACTTGAATACTCACGATAATAAATTTGATTATACAATTTTGAAAAATTTTGGCACGACTTGACAGAATTCGTGCGCTGGACTCCTCGCTGACTGAATCAACTGAATAATAACCGTTTCTGCAGGTGGCCTCTATTTAAACGCATAATTTCCTTCTACAGGTTTCATGATCGAGGTCTTTCTGGAATCCATCGTGACTTTCGCTTCCAGGTCTTTCTTTAGCGAACGCCGCTCGGCCGTCGTCATCGACTTAACTAGGCTCTGTCTGGACTGAACTGGCTTGGATTGCGAACGCCGCTTCGAGGTTTTTCTGGGCGCTGCTTCGAGACTTCCGGTATCCGGCTCCAGATTTGTCTTTATGCGAACGCCGTCTGGCCGTGTCACCGGTGATCATCGCCGTACGGTACATTTAGAGTATCGAGGAAGTTAAATACCTTGTAATACAAAACTGATGTTATGTTTTGAGGTTAAGTATTGAGTTTATTTATTATTACTGTTTGGAAATATGCAACTATGAAAGCGATCACGGAACGAGATATAATCTAGGCATCAAAACACCGTACGTGAGCTCACTGAGCTAATGTAGGATGCATGGTTTGTGTGATAATCCTGCAAGTTTGTTAGATCGAATATGACAGGTTGCCGTAAAATTATTACATGGAAAATTAGGTGCATCTTAATGCAATTACAGATTTAGAACACGTATTTAGTGATTAATCGTTGTCTCGTGAAGTATATATTCATTAAACATTCTGCTCACAAGATTCATTATATTATCAAACCATGGGAATTAAGTGGAACAGTAGCACAATTGAAAATGTTGAGTTAAGGCGTACGCGACACATCCTCATCATATGAAAAGAATATAAACTGTTAACTTGGGGTAAATCTTAACAGAGAGTATGAATTATGAATGTAGAGAATATGTTATACCCTACCTTGCTGCCAAAAATGAGACACAGAAGTAATGTTACGGTAAGCTGCGTATGACAGAAGAAAATAATGTAGAGCAGGTCTGGGTTAGCAGGCTTTTGCAGGAACAACCTGAACAAACAATAACAATAGCATCATTTGAATTTTAATAATAGAGTAGAAAGTGTCAAATCGTGAAGTCTTAAACCTTGTTTTGCAAGTCTTGAAGGGTAAATTCGGTCTAAAACAGTGTAATCAAGTTGTTTGTTACCGTGTTTCTACGCATTTAACAGACAGAGACTATAATTAAACATAAGTCCCACGGATCGCTATAAAGAACGCGATAACGCAACGCGGGATAAAAACATGCATACACAATCCGATATTTGCATTTTATATTGAAAATCCCAAGCAGACTCAACTTTGTCGACTTTACTCTGCAGATCACTGAATTTATATGGAGATAAGATTGTAAAGTGATCCCCAGGACAGCACGTCTAAACTGGTACGACAGGACATCCAGAGGGATCTGTAAAGTGCGGTAAACTTTCCGAATTTAAAACGAACTAATGGACTAACTCTCCAATGCTTGCAAAAATAAAACTAAATGTGCCCCGAGCTTCGCGCTGTAATTGAATCATAAACGTCCTGCATCCCTTTCTAAAGATTTCACCTTAAATCCTAGCTCTACATTGACACAGCTGTGACAGATCATTCAAGTAGTGAAACCGAAATCGGATAACCGAAATAAGAATACGGAATATAAAATACAATTTAAATTTACTCGTGTTATGGAGCAGCTTTATTTCTCGGGACGTTTGGCCTCGTTTGAACGAAACTTTATGAATTTGAATGTCTTATGTAAATTCATTATGGTTGCAGCCGAACTGATTGTACAAACGAGAATCTAGCGAGCAATTTACGACACTTTATAAAGAGTATTTTATTTTGATACTCTTTAAACACTAAATACTCCTGCAGGATTTGCTTCTTCTAAAACTCTCTCTAAAAGACTCTTACATGAGAAATCTTTATTAATACAAACCAATAAGCTGCCTTTTGACTTGTTCCAAATTGAAAATCCTACGAAGAACAAGTAATTGATCGTCTCAGTGTAAAATGAAAACTTCTTTACAAAAAAACTTAGCTACGTGAAACGCTGTTGCTGCAACTACCAAGAAAACTAATAAAAATTTATGTTTCTTACAACTTCACTAATTATAGAACGGCATATCATTGAGTTCCTTTGAAGGCATTATATCTTTAAGCTCTTTGTTGTTTCAAACAATATAATGTCTTTCAAATAAGAGTGAAAAGAAGTGAATCTATCGAAAACAATTCCGTGTTCCTTTAAGTCTTAAAAGACGCTTTCATTCTTTTACAAGCACGAGTTTTGAAATTGACAAGTGCTAAAACAGCTTATTATTAAAATATAAAAATGGATATTCACTTCCAGCATTCCTGTTTTTGAAATTAACAGACATCTTTGGATTTGAATTAATTATTCACGTCATTGTTTAAAAGGTTAATATTTTTGTAAATTTGTACCCTCAACTAAATTTAAGCCATTAAAAACAAGACCGTACTTCAATAAACATTTTTGGAACAACATTTGTATTTATGGAACTTCAGCAACTGATTCAAGTAACAAGGCTGTTGTTTTTCATGGCTTCTTTAAATTGAAATTTCGTTGAAAAGTAATTTCCTGTTAGGTATAGTGTAATGAAGAGCGTAGAAACACGTTTCTTTTGCAATTTTTAATTAAAACGAAAAATGTATTGAAATTGTTACCCTTTAGCTGCACTGGCCATCACAAAAACTTGAATGAATGCGTACTTACATCGATATATTTAGAAACACTGAGAGAAGGAATTCATTATAAATGGCCATGGAAATGAAGCGACTTTCATTAAATTCGGATGGGGCTTTTCGTACGACGATACACAGCCGTATTCCCCAGACCAGAAACATAACTTCCACTGAAAGCATAAAAGAACAAAACTTGAGGCAAAGTGCGCAAATCATTTCATTAACTTGCAAAGCATTAAATCAACAAGTAATTAGTATGGTTTTTATGCGCAACCAATGGTCTGCGTTAATGGAAGGTTGGGAAATTATACTGTTAAGGTCGGTTCTTCGGGCTTCTAGTTAACTTGTGATTAAACAACTTTTAGTTAGCCGCGAGTCTTAATTACATAGAGAATACGTTTGAAGATGTTTGTGGGTTAACAAAATAGGCTATACACACAGCCGCAAACTTTGATGCTAATTCTGTATTGATTTAAATTTTAGAAAAAAAATGCTTATTATGACAGTTTTTACTTGTCATTAATGTCATTTCTACGCTGTCATTTAAAGTTAAAATTTTGTTTTTGTGCTAGGAAGTGAAAATCGTGAAAATGGTTTATTCTGCTGAACAAGACACTCAATAAATTTGTTTCTTTTTACTATAATGAATTAGTTTCATTTTTTTAATAAGAATACAACTATACAGATGCCTGTGCTATTTGTCGTCATTTAGTAAAATGCGCATAAAGTGATAGGCGACACGCTTTCATGACCTACTTCGACCCTATAATCATTTATAGAAACTCTGTACAACAGCAGGGTCTCCACTGTTCAATCGAGACTTACTTGTCCATGACTTTGAATGGGGATTTCAATGTGGTTTTCACAAAACAAAAATTATTAGTCCATTATTTCTTTTTTGAAAATAAATTTTATTTTAAAATTTTCTTGTTCTTGATTCGTCCAAGTCCTATTTATGTAATTTAGTACTAATTTGTCAGGTTTTACTATGTGTTATATACAAACAAAGTTATTTTCGTTAACAAGTAAAGTTCAGTTTTTTGCAAAGCTGTGTACGTGTAATATTTATTACACTCAACTGAACTTGGAACAAAGTTAGCATTTTTTAATTTTAAAATTTATGGAAGTTATTGCGCCTACAAGTTGCGGTTAATCACAAGTTAGAGAATTAAGAAAAAGCCACGCTTGGAATTGTGTTGAAAAGAAAGGATTCGGGATTAGTTTTATCATGCAAAGATTAAGAAGTGCTAATCGTGGGGCTTACATGTCGTGAACGAGTGGTCCCACCAGTCGGTGCGGCATAAGTAGGCCTTAAGGTCATCAGCCGTGCGTCCAACGATGACAACGGGAGGAGCAACGAGGGTTCGGATGGCCAGGAAAACCGTAAAAATGGCTACTATAACGCCAAGGCGCTTTAACAGGTTCATGTCTGTAATCTTGACGGCCTTAGCAGAGCGAACGCGGAAGATGACGGAAATTCTGCAAGATAAGACGTGGTGGTTTTACCACAACGGACTAAACTTCTGCTAATATACATAAATTAGCGACTCATTTAAATGCATTTATTTTCAAGGCGTGTCACCTTAACCAAGACTGAAAATTGCAGGAAAATGAAATGTTATTAGATATTTCCCGAGATATCCTAAGAGGTTACTAACTTTTGCCCAAAAGTATTCTCATTTATGTTGCGCTACTTTGCTTTCGTTTTTTGTTTTTAATTAATTATAACTTCGCCGTTTCTGAATTCATTATTACGAAAACCATATTTTACGGTTTTGTGTATTTGTTCTTTTTTTTTAAGTAAACTCTCACCGCCATGTCTTCAACATCAAAGCTCCGTAGGTTAACGAAAAGCCGATTTCTCGAAGCCACACGCGTGCGATGCAGGTATACATGTTGGGTCGAGGGTACATCACAATCATCTGAAAAAAAACCGAACAAACTTCTAAGCTATTACAAAATAAATCAAAGTTATCTGCATCAAAACCACAAAATAAGCTTTTACATACCGTACAATATATAAGGAAAGCTCCCAAAGTTATAAAGCACAGCAGAACAGGGCTAGCGGCACGTACAACCTGAAATAAGACAAACGAGAATGTAATATTTATTTTTTTTACGTTTTTTAATTTCGCTTTTGGAAGCTGACTAAACTCTACGTGATAACAAACCAAAGTCAAACTTTCCCAATTTATTAAAACGCTGACAGAAGCCTGTTTTACCCTCAAACGCAAATTCATTTTAGAAATGAATATATAATTCTCGCAGTGCTATATTATTAATAGCAGAGACAATCAGATGACCACCTTTTCACGGATATATTTCGTAAAACAATAAAGTTATAATTAAAATCACAATTTAAATATCCCACACAATAACAATAAATACTTATAAGCCAAGCGATTCAACTTTCATGAAAGCAACTAGAATCACGAATACATTTATGTTGAAAAAAAAAGATCAGTGTAATCCACCAAAACCAATTTAAATGCATGCATAAAAAAATAGAGTGATATTCTGAGAAAACGGTTCATGTAATTTACATTATTCAATTCTCGTGTGGAACAAGTTGCTAAATAAAGTTTCTGCGTCTGATAACTGTGACAAATTTTAAATAATTCTGTGTCAATTGACAAGTGTGTAAATATTGGAGTAGTCAAACGACCAAGCAAATATTATCTGGTTCGTCAGCTATATCACTTCCAGTTTTTCCGATGCAACATGTAAAATGTACAAAGCCGTTACTTTGAATGTTTAACCATAACAGTGGACCCAAATAAAACAACGCTTATCCTGTATGCAAAGTCCTTTTAGTCAATATCCTAAAAGAGACGGACGAATAAATAGTAAAATGGCTGGAATTGTGCACCGCATAAAGAGCGACTGCTCTTTTAGAGATGGAAAACTAGAACCATATATGTAAATCGCTACAAAATCGGAACGAATGTCGTTTAGAAATAACATGAATATGTTTTGATCTCAGGATAAAATTAAAGAATCGATGAATTGTCCACTTCCAAAATGCTCTCAAAGATACGTATCTTGAATTTTTCTTGGAGATAAATTAGTTTTCGTTCTCCGACAATGTAATCTTTGTTCCCCTATAACTCGATAAGGAAGCTGAACCGGACATAAGTGCTTCGACACATTTAACTTTTCTGGCTTTTCGACACTTTGGCTCAATTCAATATGTTTACACGTCATAAAATGCATTGAATAGTAGTCTACAATATACTCGCTTTAAACACGCTTCATACGTTAAAACTTTCGCACCTAGAGGGTTAAAGTGGATAGACAGACACAAATGCACAAAGCTTCAAATGCAACCACACGTATCCCAGTCTCGTCGCGTCAACTTTTACAATATGACATATACATTTCTAGAGCTACATCAAGTTACACATATTTAGTTTTATTATTATTTTCTTCACCAAGTCACAAACTTAGTACTACTCTGATCTAACCTGAGTGGATGTAACTTATCCTTTTTAGCATCATCAATCTATTAGAAAAATTTACTATATTGATTTTTAAGGTAACTAAAGATTGAAATTTTACTTGTGTGTTGGTTGATTGTGTTTGGAATGTCAGTGTTTTGCGAAAAGAAGTTACAACAACTCCATTCATTCTACACTTCCTCACGTAAATTAGCCGGCAGACTATTTAAACCTATTAGATGTTGAAGCAAAACAAAAGTAAAGAACGTTGAAAAGTTTCAATTACGCTTACACAAACTCTTGTCTAGTTTCCTATGAGAATGGCGTCTATAAACACAACAAAAAAAACAAACAAATCTAAAATTTAGTAAGTTGAAATCGCCGTGTTTGTAACTGCCAATGCGAACATGTTGGGCAAGTTAATTTGGAAATGCTATTGTCGTTACACGTTAGAGGATCTTAGGGAAATAAGTTGAAGGTCTTCGGAGAGCGACTTGAGAAAACCACTACTAAATCCCTTGGGCGATAATACAATAAAAGTTCGTGTTGTCAATGAAAAGACGAATAGAGCTTCATTCCACTGATATGAACTTGAAGTTGTACTGAAATGCACTGTTTAATCGATGAGCGCTTGTGCATTTCGCATCTGTTTGAACAAACTTTAATTATTTCGCCAATAAGGAAATATTTGCGTACCTTCAATAAAAATTAATTAGCAGAGTTGAGAGAGAAAAAGTGCAAGCAGATTTGTTGATTTTAGTATAAATTGCTGCTCTCAAGTCTAAAACGTTCATTGCAATTGTTGTTTCAAGTGGAAGTGTCAATATTATTTTAAAAACCTAATTTTATCGTCTGAATTATTTAAGATATTGTAGGGAACGAGCTGTTAATTTAATTGGAACAGCTTGACTTACAACGGTTTAGGTCTACAATCGAAGCACTGAGATGAGCAGACGCTTTTATCTCAAATTATCTTAATCAAAAGTAGCTTGCGAAAATGTGTATTAGAAAGACTCCATTCCAGTTTTGCAGCGAAGTGCACCAGGAATATCGTCTTCTAATTAATATAAAATGAGTTCACTTAACGCGATGGAGTTTTAGACGCAACTATTTTCATTTACGTACCGACTAGAAATTTCTTTCAGAAATTTAATATGTTACATTTTGCTATTTTATTAGAATAATAATGGTTAATTAGGAAGTTCCTGCTAAAATCGGTCAGTTGAGAAGCCATAGTTAAATTGAAAGAGTTACAGCGGATCCTAGGGCTCAAAAGTGTGTGTGCATTATTGGCTACTTACAGCTATTCTAGATTAAATGATTCTAACGATTAGATTCACCGTTACGCAACAACAGAAAATGTAAAGAGTAACATCCTGAAGAATTTCATTTGAGAACTTTAACAGAGACATGAACGTCTGAGTTGGCTTCAGGATGAAAAGACAAAATTATCGACAATAATGCTACACCGAAAAAGATTAATAAATCACCAAACAATGTAAGAATGACCTGAAGGCATAATTGATAAAGAAATAGAAATAAGTGAATAAAAAAACGAAATAACAAATTTACTGAAAGATCAGTAGAATTAAATAACAGACAGAATCGACAATTGAATGATTATCTTAGAGCCACGAAATTAACTGGATCTTCTTTGAACAGCCCTGAGTAACGCAGATTTAAAGTCCGCCATGATGGCGTAATCTCGTGTTCTATTTGAATATTTTCTTTTGGCCGCTTTTTTAGCAAATGGCAGCACCTAGAAGACCCTTCTCAGAGCCTTGATTCATCTGAGCATCGGTACTTTAATTTCCTTTCTGTCCCATCAGGTATCCAGTTAGTACAACTTTTTTGTTCTGCTCTGCTAAATCCTGTATTTGATAGTGACATTTCCAAATACGCTTCAATGTGTCCCTACTATAGTCCAAATACAACGGGAATTTTGCTATCGTCCTCCTTCATGAAGATGGAGCTGGTTTTTCTCTATCACTCAGTCCAATGCATTACTCTGGGTGCCAAACCAAAATGCTTCGTCTGACTTGTTACGTGAGTCCTCTACGAAAGCCTATAGTGTAGACAAATACCTAGATGACTTTTCTGTACACCCGTAGCTACATGACGAAATTTGCTTTCTATAAGCATTGCTATATCATCAGCATACTCCAGGTTCCATAAAACGGTGATAACCTCTCCCCTGCGGACAACCCTGCGTAGTAGCATACCAAGCGTAGTAGTACCAAGTGAGTAAGTTCCACCTTCCAGCTCCTCCTCTGTCGCCGTGACGACTGAATGCAGGTCAGATCAGATCATGTCAGGTCCCATACGCAGAGATGGAAAATGATATATGGAGTAAGGCATACCAGATTGTTACAAAGAGATTTGGGATTAAAAGAAGAGGATACCTAGGGACGAAAGAGCAAATAGAGATCGCGAAGCTAGAAATCAGAGACCGACTGGAGATATCCCCGAATTCACCCTAGAAGAATTAATCAATGCCACAAGTAAACTTAAAAATAGAAAAGCTCCTGGACTAGATCAGATAGTAAACGAAGTCCTGGGAGTGGTAATAAACGAGACTCCAGAGAAGAGGGCGAAAGTTGGCAAATGGAGTTTCTCAGAAAGGCAGTACGGGGTCAGGAAACATAAATCGACCACAAATGCCGTCACTAAGGATAATTAAGGCTTTAGAGACACGTGGGGTATCGGCATACCTAATTAGGATGGTCGAAAGTTACTTCCAGAACAGGATGTTGGCCGTTGGGGAAGAGCGAAGCGAAATGGTACTGGGTAGGGGTGTTCCTCAGGGCTACGTGCTGGATCCTCTACTCTGGAACTTATTCTATGATGGAATATTGAGCTTAAGAATGCCACGTGAGAGGAGTGTGGATGGACAAAGACCTCAAGATGGTGCAGCATGTCACAAAAGAGTGCAGGACTGGATCGAGAGTGGGAAGGTTCGGGAACAGACATGCAAGTACTGTGGAGGGATAGACAGTAGACAATTTTAGTAAGGTCGTTAAAGAAGGGAGGTAGGTACACATTAAGGAAATAATCGGAAAAATAATGATGCAGCAGGTAAAGGAAGAAGGACAAGAGATATGATGGCGGGTGACCCGAAGCCCAAAACGATGATATGCCCCAAGCGATTCCGTGGTTTTTCCTAGAGGGCAAGACGGACACAGAAGGGTTTTGGTGCAGTAAAAATGCCACTGTCCCCCTTGCAACTGAACATCTTCGCGCAGGGACCCTTTTGAATATTGGCCCTCCCCCAGGAGTTAAAAAACGGTCAGGTCAGGTCAGGTTGTTTTCTGAACCTCCTCGTTAGACTGGTGGTGTCTATTTTCCTGTGTCGTATTGTAGACTGAATTCTTCTTGAGCCCTGTTATAGAACCATCAAGAATTGGATGATTTGTCAAGTAAGGCCCTATCTAATAACTTCCTTGTTTTAACCTAACGAGGAAAGAGTTCCACCGCCCGAAGGTTCTAGGGCTTCCTCGAAGGAACGAAGCTTTTCACTACCCCCTTGAGTCCAACACCACTCTACTAGGGTTTGGAGGCCCATTCTGACGTTCCAGGTTTTGTCGACCGAAGGAAGGCACTGGTGATCTTTCACCAGAGCCTCTTTTCCTTGCTCGCGGAGGTGAGGTCGGCATTCGCTGGTCCGTGAGTACCGTACGATCCCGTTCCACCTATAGAGTAGCGTCCCTTAGAGGTTCAATGGCCCTCGCCTCTTATACAGATAAGACGAAGTCACAACCTTCAGAGCCTAAGCCAATCCAGTTGAAGTGGGCACCACCAGCCCGACACACCAGTAGGCTGACCGATTTGGTGGGCCTCCCTCAGAACTCTCTTTGTAAAAATAACACCATGGGTAGACGGAAGTTGATATAGAGAAGAAAGGTTGTATGTTCTACACGGTAACTGTAGTGGAACGGTCATACTGGTCTTCTTACGTCCCCCATATTGAGGTATCGCTTACCAGTCCCGGTCACGAACCAGGCCACCAGGGGGCACAGTACCCATGTTTCGCATACCCTAACAACGCACTAATCAGATAGGACTAGAAAAGATTACTGAATGGTCAGTAGTAACTAAGCTTTCAGTAATAAATAGTAGATATAGAGCCCTTGTTTTACTTTTCATATCTCTTAATATTTGTCAGTGGTAATCCAATTCTCTTTTCTGTTACGTGTTCTAAATGCCTTTGATTGCACATGAATAATTTAAAATTATGCGAGTTTATACTTTTCTCGGCTATTTTACTTTGTACAAATGGCGTTTGTTGTAAAAATAATTATAAAATAGAATGAAATGAGACAGTTATTTAAGTTTTAATTTCTCTCATACTTTACAGTTTACAGTGAAAAGGAGGACTGGAAAAATGCATCCATTTGTAAAGCGCTGTAAACATGAAACCCTCACTTAAAACACCTGAAATTAGATCAATTATGTTAACTCCTAATAAATTGTTCTGTTTGTTTTATAAGTAACAGTTCGAAATATATCGGTAAATCAGGCTATAAATATGAATCTTAGTAGTATTCGCATGCTGGATTTGGCAGACTTTACGTATTTGTCCATGTATGAGTGACCCTTTTGTGTGCGTGGTATGGCAATGTTTATTACTATGATAGAAGTGATAAGAAATGCGTTATGGTATGTGTCTATGAATTCTTTCGTTCTATATTTCAGCATGAAGAAAATGGCGCATGTTAAATCATGCGTACAAAAAAGATCCAACTTAATTTCCTAGAAACGACATATCCAGTCAATTGTGCGGAAGGTCAAAGAAAGTCCATTGGAAACTTAGCTTTCGAAATAATATAAATTGTAGGTAATTTAACAAAGCTTTACTGTCATATCAGAAAGACGCACACCTTAATATATCAATCTGAAAGAATTTCTCCGAAAATAATTTCTTTTCGAGGATTTAAAAGAACAGGTCTAAAGCGCAATATTTCAGACACACAAATCATACTTCATTTAGCGGAAAGATTCGGTCGCACATAAGCTGCTTCTGCTATTGTGGGGTAAATCTTACATAAAAAAGTGTTGATTATGACAAATTGACCCTTGACACCTCGAGATTTATAAGTTTGTTTTCTTGTTCTTTCTGTAATTATTTTAGGAGAGTTACCTTCACGTTTCCGTATTTCCAGGTGAAAATGACGACAATGGGTAAGCAGCAGATGATGACACACGAAAGGACAAGAATCACCGTCCGCATTACCCAGTTGAGAGAAACCACACATGGTCGGTCGTCCTCGCAGTATTCGCATCCTTCGGCGCAGGAGAGACATTCGAAAATGCCAAGTTTTGCGTACTGACTGGTTTCACCCTGTTGAATAATACAAAGACACTTTAGTGGAAAATAATGTAAAATAAATCTCACACTACGCAGTTTTAGTGTTCCAAGATTTACTAGAATATTATTCACGATATTTACATATTTATTAATACGTCCCGGTTCAGATTAATGGAAAGTTGGGTTTGAATGATAGGACACTTGTGGCACTGCAAACTTTTATTCCTTTTCATGTCTGAATCGGTGAAATTAGCTTGCAGTCGACTGCCTTAATTGCAACACTTGATTTAATAAAAGGACCGGAGGTACAGATAAATCTTTATTTTACTGTTTAGTGTAGCCGTAATGAACTGGACGACACATGAAAGCAACTAACGAACTGAAACAAATATTAGTTTGCTGAACGGAAGATTCAAACTTTCGTCACTTTTTCATCGATACATGTACGTTGCAAAGTTTCGCACTAAATCAGACTATCTACCTCCGTATCTAAATCAATAATGCTAATTCCGGTTATCGTAGAAATCGAGAGTCAAACAATTTAGTTATATCTTCCGAATTAATATGGAATTTAGTAACTGGGGTGATTTATTGACCTTTGTCCAAGTTTTTATCGTACCACAATCGATACTCGCACACACTCCACTTTAATAAACTCATGTAATATTTATGTTAATTTTACTACACAATGTGGCGCATCTCACAGCGATGTGTGTAAACAATAAGAGATAACTCAAATTAAAACAAGTTTCATTATTCACATTTCGTTTTTGTTCAACGCATGTTTTCAAACACGGAGAGGGTTTATGTCGTTAAACACTATATTTTCATTTCAGGTTTTCTAAAATGTCTTGCAATACACAGTTGTTAACTCCTCCATCTATAAATTATTGTTATAAAAGAAGTAGGTCACTTCGGTGTGCTGCAAGCTATCGCAACAAGCTTAGCTGGTGTTTTAGAAAGAGGACTAGGACCAGAGGAGTGTTCCGCAATATCATAATTGCTTTTGTGTATCTAACGGTGGGGGATGCAGGAATACGGCGTACGTTACAGTCTATGGTTGTCTACTCAGAGAGAAAATAAGTCATAATTTAAGGCACGTCTACGAACTACGAATTAGTTTACCTACTGGGTATTACAATACAGGTAGAGGAGATATCCTATTTTGATTCCTAAAATGCTCCTTCCGTGGGCCACCTGTGCCAAAAAAATTGTTACGGTAAGCCCACCGCTATCATCAGACACTCTACAAATAATACCACAAATAATCGAACCAAGAATTTTAGGAGATTTATCGCAATATGGAGATGTCCAAAAAATCATACCATGATAGCTGCATCATGGTATGATTTTGATCAGTACACGTCGATGGTCAAGTCATCAATGAAAACAGCCAAAGAACTGCGAAGTTCTCGGGCAAGATCAGCTATACAAACGATGAATATTAAGGGGACTAAAACCGTTCCTTGTGGAACCCGCCTAGAACCTTGTGTGGGTTACTAAGGACCCACTACCGTATGTTCAAATTCTTTAGACCAGTCATTGAGGCAAGGGAGAAGATTCGTGACTAGACAAGAAGTAGCTTCACACCTTAGACTGATGCGACAACATTTCCGGGGTCAAGTTGGCCACTTCTGTTAAAAATAACTTTGACTGTTTTTCTCTGTTGATTAAACTCTCTAAGAGTTAACAATTTAAATATCCAAGAAAATTTATAAACCGCTGGGTTGTTTAATCGTAATCTATGTTTTTGATTACAGTATGTACATTTAATTGCGTCCCTCGGTTTTCCATTTAATCTTAAACGTATATTTGATATTTCACGGTAATTTCGAACGATATTAGCTCCTCGTCAGCAATGAGGAGAACGTATACGTAATATAACTCATTAACTCATTTTGACTCAACGACTTTCAATGCCAATTTATATTTGCCATTAATTCATTTCCGAGTGAACTACAACGCCAAAAGAACAAACTTCAGCGTGGAAACTCTAATACTGTGTTTAATTTTAGCCACGAATGAGCAGAAAATAAATTGATAGAATGATTTCGCTCCCCACGAATAGTTTCAGTGGGGATTATAGAGTGCCTGCTCTTATGACGCTGTTGAAATAGGATCGGCATTCTACGTTAAATTTTAATTTTTTTGGTAATGAACTCGTCGTAGAAGTTAAACAGTTGGTGTAGTAGGTGAGTTGAATCTGAGAACAGTGTCTGTCCTGATGTTTCACAACGTGGCAAAAACCTATTATTACGTGCTAATTTATGAAAAAGTGCTTTGTAAGGTTTATTTATGTATAAGTACGTCTAAATTGGATGCATGTTCGCTGTTTTTGTACGTTATTGATTTCTAGAGTTTCATTGGGGATTGAGTATGTTAATTAAACTACGCTATGCTGCTTGGGCAGTGTATCATCAAGAAACGCTTGCGGCAAACTTCTGTAAACAAATATCAATTTCGGCAGTATCGATATGTGAAGTTGGGCAGATAACATGTCGAAATCTCGCACTGTCAAATTTCGGATAAACAAACAAAGCCAATATTTTACAGCATCACCAGCAAAATCCTCACCATCATGAGCTTTTCATATTCCTCTTCGATTACCGTTCCATTATAGTAGCGCCTTTCTGCTTTGGTGTCCGGGAAGAAAAAACCACGTTTGCAAACGCACTTGTAGCTGCCTCGCCTGAAGCCCAATCCAGATAGCGGCACACACTGAAATAAATTTTTGCTAGTTATCTTGTTCAAACATTTATTTTTTCAACAATTCGGCACATGCATACGAATAACCTTAAAGTCCGCATCTGAGTTCCAAAGTCGACAGGATATATGAAAAATGTCACCCTTTATTTCCGAGCTTTACTTTCTAAATTGAAAACGGCCAGAAGCGAATTTATCATTAATTCAACGGTCTGAACGTGTTTCATTCATTCGTTAGAGTAATTATGTAGTTATTTATTTAACATTGAAATACGCAGAACCGAACCGTAAACTACTATTAATTAATTACATCTCCTGTTGAGGTTTTGCGGAGACGTTTTTGCTACGTTTGCTGTTTACGGTAACTAATTCTTTTGGGTGCAATGCAATTAACATGTATTTGCCATTTGTTGACGTTTTGTAACTAGGTTAATTGGTTAGCCAGTCGTACAAAAATAATTCTAATTCTGGAATCTGTTAACCAAACAAGGCTCACGCTGCTGAAAACTGAAGGACGTCCCATCTAAATTGGATTCAGAACAATTTGCCTTCACTGTTCACTACTGCTGTTTAATAATCAGCTTTCACTCCCATCGACTTGTGCTGGGTAATTATTACCAACTGTAGGGTTACGACTCCCCAAATTCTAGAAACTTTAGTTCAATAATTCCAAACAAAACGACCACGTTAAACACCTGTAATCTTATAGAAACAAAATAATTCCACTTAAAATTGACGGAAGTTAAATTCTTCCATGCAACTACAACTTGTATTTTCCTTATATATTGTAATATTGTGCATTAGTTCAATTTGTATACATTTCTTATATTGTTCTATACAAAATATCACTACTTTTGTCTCAACACTTCATAACGACGAGAATTTTAATTCTAACTCTCGAGTTTCGAGTTAATCTCATTATACTTAAGTTTTTCTGGTAGTTGTGTTTGTGAAACTTGGCTTTAACTGCATTGTTTTGTCGTAGTCAGTCCGTGGAGGAATATTCCCGGCAACTTCTGTAGAGGCAGGACGTCGTATTGTTGTGGCGAAACGAACGCTGTTACGGACTCGGTTAGATTTGTTGAAGTTGAATCCAGGCCGACTAGAGGACAAGTTTCGGAGGAGAAGGGTCCAATCTCGATAAATCTTTATTTGTTGCCGTTCGTCTTGTTGTTGTGTGTAATTGAGTCTTATCGTGTGCTGCATAATGAAGTTCTATTGACGTTAATTTTTTTCAATAAATAATTCGTTTTATTTTAGATGTATATTTGCAGTTTACTGTTTCATTTTATTGTTAATTAAATATATTGTTACAAAATAAACCCATAATGACGGATTGCATATGCTGATTTGCTGATTCCAGAAAAACCTCGACGCGGCGTTCGCGATCCATCCAGAGAAACGTGTGGGTTTAAATAGAAGCCACCGCCGGGAACGAGGATTATTCAGCCAGTTCAGTCAAGACCGAGTCCAGTTAAGTTGCACCCGAATTATTTTGTACATAATCGCTGTGCAAATTTGAGTTAGTAGGAAATAAATGATTGAGTTTTACCCACAACTTTGGTAACAAACTTTATTTTATACTATAGGGGAGAGAACAGTTCTGCCTAAATAACTTTAGGTTGCTTTTTTTATGTTACTACAAATGTCAATTGTGGCCGAATGCCACTTGTTAGCGGCTTTAACGCATCATTTGATCCACCCCACTCCACTGACACGCAACTGCGGCAATTTGTGTCATATAAATCACTGTTGAGTCAAACGTTTGCGTTGTGTTTAAGAAGTCGCGAATTGTTGTAACAAAAGAGAAAAAGAGAAAAACTAATGAACAACGGAAGCGCTATTTATAAATGCCTAGAACTTCCAACTCGCGTTTTGTTCGTCCGAGTAACACATTAAGTATGATTTATCTGTTGTCCTGAATATTTCACAGTAATTAATAGTTTAAATTTTATTTCGTTATTTTAATTAAACTATTTGCGAAATGTAGAGGTAATTCCAGATAGTTTTTTTTTTCGATTTGTGTCACATACAATACAAACAAAGTTTTCAATTAATGTGCAACGATTTAAATTCCAGTTGTAGGTCCTGAAAGTTTGCGCAAATTCATTAAAATCAACCATTCAATTTACAATTTTTTTGCAAAGCAGCAATTTGAAGATATTTCCACCGGAATCCGTTTCTAGTAATCGCTTGTTTATTTTAATAGGGATCAATAATCAATTACCCATTATTATTTTCAACCGGAAATTAAACGATGAAATTCCAATACCTAATCTGCAATTTTCATCGCAAATATGTTTTCTAAAATAGTGCGTAGGTTTAAACCATAAAGATCTTGATTTGATTCCTGCTTAGTGACAGTTTTATGTTTCTTTCCACTTATTTATGTTTTCTTTGCGACACAAGCGCCACGGATTGTGAGAATATCAGAGCGAATCGGCCGACGGTGGAACGACAACGGCGAATAGTCCCATTAAGCCGCTCATTTATGTTCTCTACAATTTTTCTTTATCGAGGCACAATACAGGCAATATACCCTCAGCCGAGCTTTCCTTCGCACCATTGTTCGCACACTGAAAGTCATACCATGACCAACTAATTCAATATTGGGGTATACAACGGAAAAACGAATTATGCCGGGCCAGTAAAACGCCAGCTCTGATTTACAGATGCCGATGAAAAGTTTCCACAAAATGTGTAACGTTTTTGTTGGGCCGCTCGTGATAGTTTTCTTGCTTGTTTTCAAAAATAAGTAACACAGAAGTTGAAATTTTGTGTTAGTAAATGTTAAAAATCGTTATTATTGTTAAGTTAATGGCATCACTTGTGAATGTAGCATTTTTTGATATTTTTGATAATGAGAAAATGTCGATAGTGGTGAGAGAATGAAGCGCATGAGACCCTTGTTTTAATTTAACTAGTTAAACCGCATTGTAACCATTGTTTGAGCTTTGTATTATGACAACAAGTTCGTCGCCGTTAATAAGGTCCTCGACACAGTTAAGATAATGGTTAGTGATTTGAGTTGATAAATGACATAATTAAAGTGATTAATCGATGTCACGACTTTGTCACTACGTAGGGGAAATAATCTACATATCTGAAATGCCCTTAGTGCAACTAAATATATTCCGCAAATTCCAACCCTTTAGCGCAATGCACAATTACATTACCGATCAGAGTCGGAGGAATTAAACGACAGCCCACTAGCGGTCCAACAAACGGATTTCCGAGAGGTGGCACATCTAGGAAAGCTATTGAAAATTAAATGGGTCTGTCTTGATGCAAAATTTATAACCCTAGTTATCATCCCCAGTATGCCATAAAAAAGTGCACTAATCGGCAATGGAATGACGGTTGTTTTCTCTGTGAGGTCAAACGTCACGTAGACAAACTTCCGACTTTTTTTGTCTACTTAATTAAAACAAAGAATCGGAGTTGTTAGATTTTTTATTAGACACCAAGAATCTATTGCCGGATCCCTTTTTTGCTTCAGAGATTGATCGCGTCTTTAGATTTCCGGTCTACTCCCTAATAATAATTGCAAGGAGCTGTTCGTGTTTTTCTAGACTAAATCCTAAAATCCCTCCTTAATTTTGTTAGATTATGTTAACTTTTCTGACATTTTTTCTTGCGTGCCAATTTATGCTTTAAATACCCCACGATTCTCCTAATTTCTTTTATCTCCACTAACAACACATAATCAATACAAATACGCAGCAACCAATAAATATTAGAGTCGACGCTTCTTTAACAAAGAAAACTCAGTTTTATGTTATACTTATAACTTGAGAAATGGGTTACGTGAAGACTGCCTTCAACTCCGACGCGCTAAAATTTTCAACCATTGTTTTTACAGGTGGAATGGTGCTGAAAAAAACATTCCGTGGTATGCATGCATGCAAAGTTTAGCAGATCCTTATTCGCTTCCGTGGACTTTCCTTCCGTCCCTATTTCCGTTTCTATTGTTCGTGAATTCCAACTGAAACGAACGTCTTTACGCACAAGGTAATAAGAAACGCGAAACTTGTATATTTCACAACGGTTACAATTTGCCTTTGAAAAACATTCCTCGAAATATATTGAGAATTCAGTTGCAAACAAAGGCAATATTGAGTCCCCTATAGCGGAATCCCTTAAGTGCGCAAATATTTAAGGTTACTACCGCAGAGATAGACCTTATTTTATTACGCCACCGACAGGTCAAAAGATCTTCCAGTTTTGTTTCGTCCCTAGATGTTGCGACGAAACCCAGGGCTCGGTGACGGTAACGGTTGGGGGTAGAAACAGATCTCCAGTATAAAAACTAAATAAGAAAACTAACTAAAAGAAACTTGTGGCAATTAAAGAAAACGAAACCCGGTCAGGGTCGTCCTGTGACCTCCCTGCGCTAGAAGGGACTGCTGCGGTTCCTGAAGAGGCGGCGTTATCGGCTCTTATCATTTTTTGCGCGCACTGGCATAACATGGAGTGCCCACCTGGGTACCAATGTAACATGGAACCCTCTTCAGGGAATGTCGACGGCGATAACGTTGGCATGCAAGAAATCAATACCTAGTACCATGGTACTATAATCGGTGAAGTCTGTTAGGGAGAGGCTACAACGAGCTTGACATAGTGCAAACTCTTTGCGTGTTTCTCGGCGCGCAGGAACAATCTCAACAGAATTCCAGAGTTTGAGCATTACTGCGCATCGGATCCGATGCGCAATAATGCTCAAACTCGTCCAAACTTAGCGGCGGGCGTAGAGAGGTGGAGGGTACTGTCTGTCCCGAAAAAGTATTCACTTTTCATTAGTCGTTTCAAGCAGGTACATCTCTCAGTTGTGCGTACTAATACCTAGAAGTTTGGGTTTAGCGAACACGGTCAACGTATTTAGGACGGTGTTGCAACCGATCGCTTTAACCGAGCACTACCGACCGCCTGACTAGACTCCGCCTCGCGCATCTCGTCCGCCACGAGATCTTGAAACCACTATAATAGGGAGTATTTGGTAGCCATGACCTGGGTTG